GTGGTTTGGAGCTCCAGGGCAGGGAATTTATAATGTCTATATATATATTTTTATATATATTATATTTTTATTAGTTTTCAAATACAAAAACAAATTTATACATTCCATACATCTTAATTACATCTTACTTCTCTTTTTTGACGTCCCTCAATTTGTCTGCCATTCCTTCCTATTGTTACTTTTTACACATTTCTGCCCTTTTAACCCTTTCCCCTCACAGAGCTTCCTTAAAGCTTACAAACATAATTTTATTATCACTCAGTTTTTGCAAATATTGGATAAACTTTCTTTTGCAAATATTGGATAAATCTTCTGTAAATCTTCGATCTCGTCGATTCCGGATCCTTCCTGTCATTCTGTCCAGTTCTGCATAATCCATCATTTTAGTTCTCCATTCTTCTATCGTAGGTAATTCCTCCTGTTTCCATTTCTGGGCCATCAATATTCTTGCTGCTGTCACTGCATATAAAAATAACTTCTTTTCTTTCTTATTTATCTCATTACCTGTAATGCCTAGTAAAAATGCTTCTGGTTTCTTAACAAATGTATATTTCAACATTTTCTTCAATTCATTATAAATCATTTCCCAAAAGCATTTTACCTTCTTACATTCCCACCACATATGAAAAGAGGTACCTTCTTTTTCTTTACATTTCCAACATTTGTTACTTATCTTATACATTTTTGCTAACTTCACAGGTGTTACATACCATCGGTACATCATTTTCATAACATTTTCTTTTATAACTGTGCATGCAGTGAATCTTAAACCATCTTTCCAAAGTCTTTCCCAATCCTCCATTTGAATATTATGCCCTATCTCTTTGGCCCAGTCGATCATAACTGATTTTACCTCCTCATCCTTCGTACACCATTCCAGTAATATCTTATACATTTTTGCTAAATTCTTATAATCATTGTTCAATATTTCTGTCTGAAATTTTGATTCTTTGTCAGCAAAACCCCTCTGATTTAAATCTTTTCTAAACATCTCATTAATTTGAAAATAATGCAGCCAGTCATTCACATAGTCCTTAACTTCTTCAAATGATCTCATTTTCCATTTTCCTACACTTTTACACATTAACTTCTCATATGTCACCCAACCCGCTGTCATATTGACTTTCTTCACACTTATCGCCTCCAACGGCGACAACCAATATGGAGTTTTTTGTTCCAACAAGTTTTTATATCTTTCCCACACTTCAATCAAAGACCTTCTTATAATGTGATTTTCAAAACCTTTATGTACTCGTCTCTTGTCATACCACAAATACGCCTGCCACCCAAATCTATTATCAAAACCTTCAAGATCTAACACATCCGTGTCTTCTAATTTCATCCATTCCTTCAACCAACAGAGGCAAGATGCTTCGTAATACAATTTAAAGTCTGGCAGGGCGAAGCCTCCTCTTTCTTTTGCGTCCGTCAATATCTTAAATTTTATCCCCGGCTTCTTACCCTGGCAGATATACCTTGAAATTTCTCGTTGCCAATTTTTAAAAATCGCTGCCCCTTTGATTACTGGAACTGTTTGAAACAAGAATAACATCTTCGGTAGCACATTCATTTTTATCATTGCAATTCTTCCCCAAAATGACAATTTCATTCTTCCCCACACCTCTAAGTCTCTTTTGATCTTATTCCATGTTGGAATATAATTATTCTGAAACAAGTCAATACTCCTGGGGGTTAACCAAACTCCTAAATATTTAACTTTCTTTACCACTTCTATTTCAGTTTGCTGCTGTAATCTGTTTACATTCTCCGAATCTACATTTTTAGTAATTGCTTTAGTTTTTTTCTTATTCAGAATGAATCCTGCCAACTGACCAAACTGGTCCATTTCTTTCAACACTTCTGTTACCGTGTTCATGGGATCTTCCAAAGTTAATACTAAGTCATCCGCAAAGGCTTTAACCTTAAATTCTTTTCTACCCACCGTTACCCCTTTTATCTGATCATTACTTCTAATTGCCCTTAAAAACACTTCCAGGACCGTGATAAATAACAGAGGTGATAAAGGACATCCTTGTCTTGTTCCCTTAGTTATCTTTATATTTTCCGTTGTCACATTATTAACTATTAATTTAGCTCTTTGATCCATATATATAGCCTTAATACCATTTAAAAACGAATGTCCCACCTCCATCTTTTCAAAATTCTTTAACATAAATTCCCAAGAAATATTATCAAAAGCCTTCTCTGCATCCACAAATATTAACATCGCTTGTTTGTCATTCTTAGCATTCAGGTACTCCAAAATATTAATTATATTTCTAATATTGTCTTTCATTTGTCTACCTGGCAGGAAACCCGCCTGATCTTTATGTATTAATTCCTTCAATACTTTTTTTAACCTGTTTGCTAGTATGTTTGCAAAATATTTAAAAACATTGTTCAAAAGCGAGATCAGCCTGAAATTTTTAACCTGATTTAGATCAGAGTCTTGCTTGGGTATCAAAGTGATGTATGCTTCTTTCCACGTTTCTGGTATTTCTCTGTTTAGTAAAATGTTGTTCATAACTTCTTTTAATGGGACAAGTAGGATGTCCTTCAATTCTTTTTAATATCTTGCACTTAGTCCGTCGGGTCCCGGTGTCTTCCCACTTTTTAATTCTTTTATTGCATTTCTAATCTCCTCTAATTCTATCTTTTCGTTTAATTTTCCTCTTTCTTTTGTCGGAATTTTCTGCACCCCTTTTTCTATTAAGTATTCCTCTATTTTTTATATATTGACTTTTTCTTTTCTCTTGTATAATTGTCTGTAAAAGTCCACAAATCCTTTTCTTATCCCTTTCGGATCTTCAATCTTATTATCTTCCACAATTATTCTATGAATAGTATTTTGCTCTTTCCTTTTCTTAATCTTTTTTTTATAAAAAAAAATTATAATATATAATTTTTTTTATATATAAGGGCAGGCACACCTTGGTTGGGGGTCCTCCTCAGGGGAGCACCCTGTTGCAACAGATCAATAAAAATCAGGCTTACTAGCTGCTTTGCTTCTCAAAAGTCTCTGGATGTCTCTGTTATTTCCTCCTACCAATGGAGAACCTACAAGGGACTCTATAAAGGGCTCTTGTGTCCCCCATAAGGGAAGAAGGGCAGCTTTATTTACAACAGATGGCACCCCAGATGGGACCTTCGGTTGGCCGGATTCTGGGGGCAAGGAAGGACTGATGATCCAGCACGCACCAGGCCATTTGCCAGGAGGAGCCACCAGTCCTCTAGTGACCCCAGGGTCTGGAAAGAACTGGAGTTCCAGTGGGGCTAACCAGAGGAAGCAACGCTTGATCAGGCCGGCCACAAATTGATTTATTTTTAAATATAATCTTTATTGATTTAAATTACACACATATACAAAGAATTTACAATCTCATACTGCAAAAAGAAAATTAAAGAAAAAACAATTAAGATAAAAGGAAAGAAAATACAGAAAAAGAAAGAAGAAAAAGCAGATTTATATGCATAAAAAAACTTAATCTTCCTAATTAAATAAAAAAGACTTCTGACAAAACAAGTCTTCCAATCATTCTCATTGTACTGTTTATACTGCCGTTGTTGTTTCTCCCCCAAAACTTTTATATTCTTTAATGTTGTTCCCGTCTACTCCACAAACAGTATTTGTTGTGTTTACAAGTATCACTCAAGTTCTGCTAATATGGTGTGGTTGGTACAATATGATCTTATATAATCCTTAAATATTCTCCCTTTTCCAAGTATTTTCCGGTTCAATACTCCTCTAACTCTTCCCATCAGTTTTGCTAGTTGTAAATATTCTAACATGAGTATATGGCTTCTCTTGGTGATGTCCACAAGGGTATTTTTGGCTCAAGTATTCCTTTATATTTACTCCAGATTTTATATAATGATTTCCTTATCACATGGCTCAAAAATCCCCTGTGGACCTTCACTTTTCCGTATATTAAAGAAGCGTGCCATCCAGACCGATTCTCGTGGCCTTCCAAGTCTAATAGGTCCGTATCTTTTAGTGTAATCCAGTCTTTTATCCAAACTAATCCTGCCGCCACATGGTAGAATTCCAAATCTGGCAATGCAAAACCTCCTCTCTCCTTTTGATCTGTTAATAACTGGTGTTTAATTCTCGGTTTCTTTCCACTCCATATAAATCTAGAAATTTCCCTTTTCCACTCCTTAAAACAATTCATTCCTCCTAAAATGGGCATTGTTTGGAATAAGAAAATCATTTTGGGGAGGATATTCATTTTCACAAGCGAGACTCTTCCCCAGAGTGAGAGATGGAGTTTGGTCCAGGTTTCCATATATTTTTTAAAAAATTTCTTTCCATACTTTACTAGAATTATCCTCATATAAATTTAAACTTTTACTTGAAATCCAGATCCCTAGGTATTTAACCTTATTTTTAATTTCCAGGCCTGTTTTTTCTTGAAGTTCTTTTTTTTCTTCCATTGTGAAGCAAGGGCGCTTACAGCTCCTTTCCGTTCTCTCTGAGGCAGCCGGATTTGGCACTGGGCTGCCAGGCGTCCAATGGAAAGGGACTCTTTTCCCTAGCGTGTAAGAGGCAGAAAAGGTTGCTGGGACCCCATGGTAAGCAAAGGGAGGGAGAAGGACTTTGTAGAGTCCTTCGTAGAAAAGACGAACGACTGTCAAGTCAGGAAAGACCTGGGAAAAGGCTAGCGGGTTTTTGCTTTGGTTGAAAAATGGGATCCCCACATTCTAAGAGTTCTAACTGCCAGACTCAAAGGCATGTGCTGGTCGCAGCAGGAGGGGGAGTCTCCCTGGATGCTTCAGCAGCCGGCCTCCTATGGGTCTCCTGGCCCCCTCCGCTCCTCCCTCTGAGCCCGAACTGCTCTCTGCCCCAGACTCTTCCCGCTCATCAAATCCTGTTTCCTCCTCAGCTTGCAACACCTCCCCTTCTGGTCTGCTCCCTTTTCTCCCTCTTTCTGCTCATCCCACCACCAGTCCCCAGGATCTGAGCCTTCTTCCCTTGTGGGTCCCCAGCTTGTGCCTCCCCCCCCCCTCACCAGCCAGTCCATGACAACAACAGCAACCACAGCACTGTGGTCCTCTGGTAGGAAAACTCCAGAGTAGCATGTTTGAAGCAAAACTTCTGGGACTATGGAAAAATAATATCTTCCCCAAACCCCAGAATGAGCAGGAGCTCTGGGGTTGCCCCATGGGGTTCATGAGTGAAGATGGGCCCCCCAGGAGACTTCTCTGATACCTGCAGCCCCCCCTTCCCCCTCTTGAAATTAGGCTGGGGGGGGAATCCCCCATTCAATTTCAGTATTTCAAGTTTTCTTCAGAACACGCAGGGCAGGAGGCAGTTCTGGTGAAGAAGCAGTGCTGGGATATCATGCGGTGGCGACAGAGTTTGGTGCAAAAATCAAAGGTACTTTCATCTAAAATTATACTCACTATTGTGAGATGCTACCTTCATTATTTCATTATTATGCAGTTTTACATATAAACACCAGAACTTCACATATACCTCATGCTTTTAGGAATGATTTCCTGCTGAGTTCATTGCTCAGAGTGGACTCTGAGAGGAAGACGTCCCACACTCCATACATCTAAATGGGTTCTCCCATGTGAGAGTCCCTAGATGTTCCTTAAATACTCCAATATAAATAAAGCACTTTTTGCAGTCTTTTCATATAAACCGCTTCTCCTCTTTGAGTTTGTGATGGTTTGAAGGGTTTCAACTGTTAAAGTTCTTCCTGTCCATAAGTCTGTTGATTTTGAACTTCCACTAAGAGTGAACCTGTATCTACTTTCCTGATATTTATATGGTATGTCTTTTGTGTGAGTTTGTTGACATAAATCAAGGGTTCCACTCTGACTGAAGCTCCTTTTACAGTCCATACCTTTAAATGGTTTCTCTCCTGTGTGAGTCCGTTGATGTGTTCTAAGTTTTCCATTATCACTAAAGCTCTTTCCGCACTCCATACATTTAAATTGTTTCTTACCGATGTGAGCATGTTGATGTCTTCTCAGGTTTCCACTATAACTGAAGCTCTTTCCACACTTCATACATTTAAAAAGGTTTCTCCCCTGTGTGAGTCCGTTGATGTCTTCTCAGGCTTCCACTATTACTAAAGCTCTTTCCACACTTGATACATTTATATGGTTTCTCCCCTGTGTGAGTCCGGTGATGTTGTCTAAGGTGTGTACTCCGACTGAAGTCCTTGCCACACTCCATACATTTAAATGGTTTCTCCCCTGTGTGAGTCCGTTGATGTGATCTAAGGTCTCCACTCTGATTGAAGCTCTTTCCACACTCCATGCATTTAAATGGTTTCTCCCCTGTGTGAGTCCGTTGATGTTTCCTAAGGCTTCCATTATCACTAAAGCCCTTTCCACACTCCATACATTTAAATGGTTTCTCCCCTGTGTGAGTCCGTTGGTGTATTTTGAGGTTTCCACTCTGACTGAAGACTTTTCCGCACTCCATGCATTCAAATGCTTTCTTCCCTGTGTGTGTCCGTTGATGTCTTTTGAGGTGTCCACTCCGACTGAAGACTTTTCCGCACTCCATGCATTCAAATGCTTTCTCCCCTGTGTGAGTCCGTTGATGTCTTCTAAGTTTTCCATTATCACTAAAACTCTTTTCACACTCCATACATTGAAAGGGTTTCTCCCCTGTGTGAGTCCGTTCATGTTTTCTAAGGCTTCCACTATCACTAAAGCTCTTTCCACACTCCATGCATTTAAATGGTTTCTCCCCTGTGTGAGTCCGTTGATGTTGTCTAAGGCTTCCACTATCACTAAAGCTCTTTCCACACTCCATGCATTTAAATGGTTTCTCCCCTGTGTGAGTCCGTTCATGTTTTCTAAGGCTTCCACTATCACTAAAGCTCTTTCCACACTCCATGCATTTAAATGGTTTCTCTCCTGTGTGATTCCGTTGATGTGATCTAAGGCTTGCACTGAAACTGAAGCACTTCCCACACTGCACACATTTAAATGGTTTCTCCCCTGTGTGAGTCCATTGATGTTGTCTAAGGTTTCCACTCTGACTGAATCTCTTTCCACACTCCATGCATTTAAATGGTTTCTCCCCTGTGTGAGTCCGTTGATGTTGTCTAAGGTTTCCACTCTGACTGAATCTCTTTCCACACTCCATGCATTTAAATGGTTTCTCCCCTGTGTGAGTCCGTTGATGTTGTCTAAGGTCTCCACTCTGATTGAAGCTCTTTCCACACTCCATACATTTAAATGGTTTCTCCCCTGTGTGAGTCCGTTGATGTAATCTAAAGCTTGCATCGTAACTGAAGCTCTTTCCACACTCCATACATTTAAATGGTTTCTCCCCTGTGTGAGTCCGTTTGTGCAATTTAAGGTTTCCACTCTGACTGAAGTTCTTCCCACACTCCCTGCACGTAAAACGCTTTCTCTCTGTGTGAGTCCGCTGGTGTGTTCTAAGTTTTGCATTGAAAGAGAAGCTCTTTCCACACTCCATACCTTTAAATGTATTCTTTCCTTTTTGTGTTCGTTGATGTGAACTATGTGTGCTCATTCAGTGAAGCATATTCCACATTTCACACATTTTAATGGCTATTCCTAATGAAATGAAAGGTGCCCTGTCCTCTGCCGTTCTGTCTTCTCCATCACCTTTTTCAGAGTGGGCAGAAAGGAAATCCTGTTTGGGTTTTAAGAAAGAGAACACAGAAAAAAAAGGACACATCAACCTCCATTAGCACCTTCTCTTATTTCAACATCTCCTACATTCTCCCATGTCCTACCCATGTTCCCAATTTTTAGAAAATGAAAATGGTATGATGTCTAATGATAGTAATGCATCAGCAACCTTTCATAATCCTCAATCATCTTTAATAACACAGCATGATCTTGGAATACTGTTGTCCTGTGGGACTGCATTTCAAATCAAGTGGTTGGCCCCATTTCCACCTCTAGATCTTCATGAATCACCTGCACAGTCCCACTGACCTCAGGAGGTCCATATGGACCATTTTGGGAGACCCAGGTCTACATCTTTTCTGGGGACTGTGGTCTGGGTCAGTCAGAGAACTAGTGACAAGGCTCGGTGCTTGGGGTCAGCTGAATGGGTGCTTAGGGACGCTCCTGTTCTCGGAGATGGACCTCTGTCTACATGCCTCACATTGCATGAAGAGCAGGAGAAGCAGAAGGAAAGCAGATGGCAAATGGGAATCCCAGATGGAAACACCCACCCCAATGGTTCTTTATAATGATGATGTGCTGCCTGATCCTCTGCTTGTCTTCTGACAGAGGACTATCCTAATCTGGCACTGAAAGGCAGGATATTCAAGGCAAGGAGATAACTGTACTTAATAGTAGGTAGCCATATTTGTCTGACACAGTTGAAGTAAAAAAGAGTCCAGTAGCAACTTAGGGTCTTGGGAGAAAAGCAATGAGAAACCTAGACAGCATCTTAAAAAGCAGAGACCTCACCTTGCCAACAAAGGTCCGTATATTTAAAGCTATGGTTTTCCCAGTAGTGATGTATGGAAGTGAGAGCTGGACCATAAAGAAGGCTGATCGCCAAAGAATTGATGCTTTTGAATTCTGGTGCTGGAGGAGACTCTTGAGAGTCCCATGGACTGCAAGAAGATCAAATCTATCCATTCTGAAGGAAATCTGCCCTGAGTGCTCACTGGAAGGACAGATCCTGAAGCTGAGGCTCCAAGACTCTGGCCACCTCATGAGAAGAGAAGACTCCCTGGAAAAGACCCTGATGTTGGGAAAGATGGAGGGCACAAGGAGAAGGGGACGACAGAGGACGAGATGGTGGGACAGTGTTCTCGAAGCTACCAGCATGAGTTTGACCGAACTGCGGGAGGCAGTGGAAGACAGAAGTGCCTGGCATGCTCTGGTCCAGGGGGTCACGAAGAGTCGGACACGACTAAGCGACTAAACAACAACAACAGCAACAACAA